TTCTGTTTCTCAGTGGCATTAGTCACATATTAAGCCGAGTATTTCTATCAACACAGCAAATTCTATTAGTATTAGTCAGTACTGCCTTAATAAAAAGAAATTAATTTTAATGGTAGACCATCAATGTGGCCATTACTTCTGTGCTGAGAAGTTATAAGTACATGAATTGATCTGTGTGTTGCAGGTTTATAATCAGGAAGTAGGTAGGAGGTGGCTGGATGAAACAGAGATGATCTTTTCATGAGTACTTTATACACACACACCACACATACACACACACACACAGGGTTTGGGCACATGCAGACTAACTGAAGATATAGGGACATTCTCTTTTTATATTAATAGGAAATCCTCCAGCAACCAATTTTACAGATCGAGAACTGAGAGAAAAAGAGGTTTAGTCATCTGCCCAAAACATTGGCACCAAAATATAAATAGAGTCTGTTTGAATTTCAATGTTCTTTCTATTGTACCTTGCTGCCTTTCTCAATCTATGGCATCAAAGAAAAGCGGGGGGACTGCAGCTCACTAGTTTTCTTTCCCTTCAATATACAGCAATCATTTTTTTAACATTTTCTTTTGAGATGATTATAGATTCACATGCAATTGTAAGAACCCACAGAGATCTTGCATATCGCTTCAATACATATATTTCAAATTTGCTATGTACTGAACACTCAAAGTTAAATCTACAAAAACAAAACTGTCTTTACCCCCGGGAAACAAAACTGTCTTTATCCCCAAAGACCTTAGAGGCTGATGGGAACATATAAATGAGTATGTTAGAGTAGGGTAAAACAAATGTAATGTCATTTACATCTATCAACTAGCAACTAATAATAAGATATTCTAAGCTCTTGTGAAAGAAACACTACATACCTCATTGGCTAGAGTATGAAGTGAGGTAAATTGGAAAGCAAGTTGGCAATAAGCATCAAATATTTCAGTCGTTCAGGTAGTATTTTTTTTTTTTTTTTTTTTTTTTTTTAGTATCTGCTAAATGCCAGATACTGGGTTAGCTCTTAGGAATAAATGGTGAACAAGATAGACACTCACCAGCCCTTTTGGCACTTCACTCTTGTCTTGTTTATGGGGAAATAAGTTTTTGTGACAAGTGCTGAGATAGGCAAAGAAAAGATATTCTAGAATCACACAGTGGGAGACAAGTTCAGCCTTAGCTGATTATGGAGGCAAAGGGGAGGCCTTAGCTAAGGCTAAGAGGCTATAAGGAGTCACCAGTATAGGTGATGAACAGGAGTTAGCCAGAGATGAGGAAAGACAGGGTATACAGAGCAAGCATGTCCGAAATGGTAGAGCAGAAGGAGCAGCATATGGGAAATTCAGCATTAAAAAAGAATGAACTAAAAAAATCTAGGAAAACTAGTTCAAGGAATAATCTAGAATACAAACAAAAAAAACCTTTCAAAGATACAGATTAAAAAGATTGTTAATCACACCATTAGACTACTGACAAATATTTAAATCGATAAAGAGTTCTGGCTGTTATAGATAGTACAGCATAATTAGAATATTTTATAGCTACTTAAAATAATGCTTACAAAGTATTTTTTTAAATACTGAAAATACTTATGCTAAAATGTTGAATGAAAAAGGCAGATAGAAACTTTTATATTCAGTATGACCACAACCATGTTAAAAGAGCTTGTGCATATGTGTGAAATTAAATGGAGACAAGTTAAATATTCATAGTAACTGGTTTTGAATCGTAAGATTATAGGCATTTTTATGTCTATGTGATTTTTTTAAAGTATTTTTTTAAGGTTTCTTTATTTGTTTGTTTATTTGTTTGTTTACACAAGCACTGGGTACAGTCAGAAGCACAGGAGGGTGAGAGAATTCACCAGAGCCAGAGCAGGGAGCAGAACAGAAAGAGTGACGAAATACACTCCTGAGGGGAGCAGCGGCCCCAGGAGAGGTTTGCGGGACCCTCCTCCGGTGGCCGGGGAGCAGGCAGGGATCGAACCGGCGTTGCAGAGGCCGCAGGCAGCTTCGCAACCCAGCGCTCAACCGCTGCGCCACCAGGGAGGCCCTGTCTATGTGATTTTTAAGCAACATGGTTCATCTGGGGCAAAACCAAGCTCTACCATTTACCTCCTGTGTATCCACATTACTGATTCTATTGATTTTAAGTGCAAAAGCTGTGAGAGTGTTGAAAGTTTAGGTAAGTAGAAGAATATGACTACAATGAGGAAAGAGGAAATTAAAAATGTGAAAATAGTAACACTTATATAATAGTAGAATGATCCTGAAGGAAAAAGGTGAATGGATGCAATACATGAACGGTGTTGTATTCAGCACAATATAAACAATGAAATTGGGAACAATTACATGTGTGGCCAAAGGAACATCATCAATGTTGTATGCTAAGAGAACACTAGAAATACATTGAAGAGCTTTTAAGCTCTTCAATGAAAAGCATTTATTCAATTAATGTGTTTTGACTTCTGGAAAATGAAGTGGGGTCCCCACTTCACTCCTTACATGAAAATTAATTCCTTATGGCTCAAATCCTTAAATGTGAGAAATAAAGCTATAAAAAGGAAATGTTTAAGAATTATAAAGTGGTGAAGACCTTTTTTTAATTCAGGCATTTCTTTTTATAAAAAATTAATTTTTGTGTGTGTGTAGAAAAACCGGGGTGCAGGCCAGAAATGCAGGGGCCTGAGAGGATTTACCAGAGGCAGAGTGGAGGGCAGAACAGGTGGATTTACTGAAATATACTGCTAAAGGGTGCTGCGGGTAAGACGGGAGAGGTCTGCTGCACCAAATGTGGGTTAGCTCCCTGGCCAGGGATCAAAACTCAGGCCACAGCAGTGATAGCACTGAGATTTAACCCCTAGGCCACCAGGGAGGTCCGTGATGAAGACTTTATCTTAAAATAGAAATTTTACATGGAAAAAAAATCTCACCAAGTGAAAAACACAGGAAAAACATTTGTAATCCATGTCAGAGCAAAGAGTCTGTTTTTATAATACAGAAAGTTCTCCCACAAACCAGCAAGAAAGGTACCAACAACTCCATGGGGAAAAAAATATAACAACTCTTAACCACATGAAAATATGCTCAGTTGCAGTTGTAATAAGATAAATAGAAATTTAAATTAACTCACACATCATTCTTTACTTATAAACTGGGCAGGGCTGGAGAAATGTGACAATACACTAACACACTGGTGAGTTGTAAGTTGGTGAAACATTTCTGAGGGAAATTTGGCATTATCAGTTAAAATTGCAAATGTACAGATTTTGACATGGAAAGTCACCTCTAACAATTTATCCTTTCTGCATTCTTTAACATGTGTAAAACAGGTATGTATAAGGTTGTTGGTGGTGCCATGGTTTACAAAAGCAAAGACAGAAAACAAGCTGACCTATCGCTCTCAGACTACAAGTGGTTAGTTTCAGAATAAAACATTTATCTTCAGGTATGAAAGCACCTCTAAGACATAGGATTAGTTGGAAAAATCCAACCGTATAGCATATTGTGATTTGTGTTAATAATAAAAGGCTGTTCAGATGGTGGATGGAGAAAGGTTTTTGCTAGTGTATGTTTAGAAGATTTCTGAAAGGATAACCAAAAAGTAGTAGCAGTGATTGCCTCTGGAAATTCTGGTTGGGAGAGACATAAACTTTCTGCTGCAAAGTACCTTTGTGCCTTCTGATTTCTCTTGGCATGTATTAGCTGTTCAAAATAAATTGAATTTAAAAACAAATTCCCTGCTCAAAGAAAATCACTCTCTCTTCTCTGCTATATCTTATTTTTCACTTCCTCTTTGCTTGCATATTTATGTCACCTACAAAACTGTGGGTCACTTAAAGGCTATGACTGTGTCTCAACTGAGTTTCCTTCTCCAGCATCTAGCACTATGTCTTACTTACACTTGGGGAAAAAGAAAAAAGAAAAAAAAAAGGCGATGTCTTGAAGAGTAATGAAGATCCTTTCCTTAGAAGGAAGTCTGGACGCCCGTACATGTGATGCAACACAGCACAGAGGAGGATGGCAAGGCTCACCATCCAGCTGCCAGTTCCAAGACTCTACCTTGAAACATCTTTTGAGAGAAGAGAGGGCTAGAAAGAGTGATTTTCTTTGAGCAGGGAATTTGTTTTTAAATTCAACTTATTTTGAACAGCTAATACATGCCAAGAGACAGAGGCAGAGAGAAACAAGGAGAGATCAGAACTTCAGCTGACAAAAACTCAGTGCTACTAAAGAGAATCCATTTGAGAACTGTGGTGCAGGACTACGGGTAGTGGGACTGCTACAGTGACAGCTGACCAGGGACATCCTGTACTGTCAAATCACTAACAAGGATGTAAAGCAATGGTACTTCATTGTACGTGTGTGTGTGTGAGAGAGAGAGAGAGAGAGAGAGAATCCAAGTGAAAAAAAATATGACCATGTGTGTGGATGAGTTTATTTGAGCTCTTACATGACCTAAATGGGGAGCTGTGCTTTCCAGTGCTATTTCAGTCCCTGTCAATGGTGGATTAACTAGAGTAGAGGTCAGGATCTCAACAATCAAGCCACAGAACACAGGTACCATATTCCAGTTCCTCTCAGCCCAAGTTCACTGAGCACTTCCTAAGGGCAGGGTAGGCAAATATTTTTATTAGCAATAATCTCTGTCTTCTGATTATCTACAGATTTAAGAGCACACAATCATCCTGTACTTCACACATAATGGCAGGAGGGAGGAGGAAACAGGCTAAGAGGCTCTAAATCCCTTCTAACACTTGCATCGTCCCTCTCAGCAAGATTAGCGCTGTCAACAGCTGCCTTCTGCATGTATGTGCAGACCCTGCAGGCTGGGTTGGGGCGCCCAGGGCAGCTGGGAGGGCAAAGCTTGGGCCCTTGGTCTGTTGCTGCAGTCTTGTCTCTTTAGGACAACGCGGGGCCAGTGGTCAGAACTGCTAGTGGCAGTGAGCAGGCTAGGGCCCTCCAGAGCCAGGCGGACCAGCAAGAGGCACGATTCTGCAGCCATGCTCAGTCAGAGCGGAAGAAGGTGGTCTTGGAGCTATGAGCCCTGGACTACTACGGAGAGTGAGGTCACAACCCAAGCTGGGGGCGGCCAGCAGCACAGAAGCATCTGCTCCACGGGGGCCCACTCTGGTTCCCAGGCCAGCGCTCCACCGTGGGCCGAGGGTAACTGCAACTATCACATCGAGGAGGACGAGGCTGGGGACGAGGAAGCGTGGAACAAGGATCTAGCTGTGGAGGGACAGCAGCCACAGGAGGCCACCACCTCCCAGCCGGACGACGACGACCTTCTCAGCGCATCGTCCACGCTGAACGTGAACGTGGGCGGCCACAGCTACCGCCTGGCCCGCCGCGCGCTGGCCCGCCACCCCGAGACCCGCCTGGGCCGCCTGGTTACCGCCAAGGGCCGCAGCCGCCAGCTGGGCCTGTGCGACGACTACGAGGCGCGGGACGACGAGTATTTCTTCGACCGCGACCCGGCGGTGTTCCAGCTGGTCTACAACTTCTACGCGTCCGGGCTGCTGCTGGTGCGCGACCAGCTGTGCCCGCGCGGCTTCCTGGAGGAGCTGGGCTACTGGGGCGTGCGGCTCAGGTGCACCCCGCGCTGCTGCCGCATCTGCTTCGAGGAGCGGCGCGAGGAGCTGAGCGAGCAGCTGACGATCCAGCGTGAGCTGCGCGCCCAGGCGCAGGCCGAGGTGGCCGACGAGCTCTTCCGAGACCTGCGCTTCTTCGGGCCACAGCGCCGATGCCTCTGGAATCTCCTGGAGAAGCCCTTCTCCTCCGTGGCCGCCAAGGTCATCGGGGTCGTCTCCAGCCTCTTCGTGCTGATTTCCGTCGTGGCGCTGGCGCTCAGCACGGTGGAGGAGATGCAGCGGCCGGCCGGGCAGGGCGCGGGCCCGCGGCCCCTCCTGGAGCACGTGGAGAGGGCGTGCATGGCCTTCTTCACGCTCGAGTTCCTGCTGCGCCTGAGCTCCACGCCCCACCTGCGGCGCTTTGCGCGCAGCGCCCTCAACCTGGTGGACCTGGTGGCCATCCTGCCGCTCTACCTGCAGCTGCTGCTCGAGGGCGTCACGGGCGAGGCCCCGGGCCGTGGCAAGGACTCCCCGCGCGAGCACGACCTCGAGACGGTGGGCCGCGTGGGCCAGGTGCTGCGCCTCCTGCGCCTCCTGCGCATCTGCCGCATCCTCAAGCTCGCGCGCCACTCCACCGGCCTGCGCGCCTTCGGCTTCACGCTGCGCCAGTGCTACCAGCAGGTGGGCTGCCTGCTGCTCTTCATCGCCATAGGCGTCTTCGCCTTCTCCGCGGCCGCCTACTCCGTGGAGCATGACGTGCCGGGTACCAACTTCACCAGCATCCCCCACGCCTGGTGGTGGGCCACGGTGAGTACCATCACCCGTGGGTCCCCCGCCCTCTTCCCAACCCAGCAGAAGCTGATCCTGGACCCTTTCCTTTTTTTATCAGTCATCTGTCTTTTGACCCTGATAGGCCCTGTCTTGCTCAGTGAACATTCCCTTTCCAGCAAGCAAGAAGAGATGAGTATTTATAGAGTTGAAATTCATAGACACTGTAGTCCAGTAACTAAATTTGACTTGATTCTAGGAATCCCCCAAATCTACATTTAATTTGAAAACCCTAGATAGGTAGATTTTGAGGAGGCATATGTGGGAAGCTTCATCATCATTCTGGTTGTTTGCCACTTATTGAATGCCTGCTGTCCTTTTTTAAAATGCTAGGCTTTTGTTGAGGTAACATTGGTTTACAACACTATATAAGACCTAGGAGTATAGAGTCACAGCTCTCGAGATGCATATTATCTGGTGGGTATACTGCCCTAACTCCAAAGCACCCATAATACTCCGCGGTAACCCAATGGGCCTCTTATTCCCCTTATTTCACACCCCCAGCCATCCCCTCCAATAGCCTCAACTCTACAGTCAGATTTCTAGGGTTTGTTTTGTTTCTTATATTCCACAAATGAGTGAAGTCATCTGATATTTGCCTTTCTCCTGACTTATTTCTCTTAGCATAAATCACAAGAGTCCATCTTTTCTAATAGCTGAATAGTATCCCATTGTGTGTATATATATACCACATCTTCTTTATCCTCTCATCTGTTGTGGAGCACTGAGGTTGTTTTATAACTTAGCTATTGTATATAGTGCTGCAATGAACACAGGAGTGCATATATCCCTTTGAATTAGTGTTTTTGCATTCTCTAAGTAGAGGCTTAGGAGTGGAATTGCTAGATTATATGGTAGATATATTTTTAATATTTTGAGAAACCTTCATACTGCTTTCCATAGTGGCTGGATCAGTTTCCATTCCCTCTAACAGTGCACATGTGTTCCTTTTTCTCCACATCCTCATCAACGCTTTTGTTTCAGGTCTTTTTGATATGGGCCATTCTCGCAGGTATGAGATGGAATCTCCTGGTTTTGATTTGCATTTCCCTGGCAATAGGTGATGATGAGCACTTTTTCATGTGCCTGTTGGCCCTCTGCATGTCTATGTGGAGAAGTATTTGACTCCTCTATCCACTTTCTGATTTGATTATTTGTTTTCATGTTGTTGGGTCATATCAGTCCCTTATCAGATATATGTTATACAAATATTGAAAAAATAAACAAAAATTGAATACCTGTTAAGTGTCTTCTAAAGTTTATCTTCTTTTACCATTAGAACTATGTGATGTGGTTATAATCACTTTTTTTTTTAAAGAGAACAATTTGGAAGTGGTTTCCATTTTTGTAGGACACTGTAAGTAAGTTTATAAAAGGAAGGGAGATTTGGCTAAAGAGGTCAACCTTAACTGAAGTACTCCTGACTGTAGGCTAAATCTGAGTGTGGAAAGAAGATATAAAACTGCAACTTCCTCCTTTATCACTAAAATTCTTTTGAAGACCAGGTATTATTATTATTACCCCATTTCACAGCTAGTTGGATTAAGGTGCAGAGAGTGTGAGTGCAGACATGTCACTAAAGGTAGGCACAATTGAAACCCGTGCCTGTCCTAATCTGAAATCCATGCCCTTTCCATGCCTAGCACTGTCTCTTTCAAGTTTTAGTTCTTCTGCATGACTTGCCTAATTTGCAATTAGTAAATTAGTTACTTGTTATTGTTTTCTTTGATATTTGCCATTTTGAAAATTACAATGTATGCCTCTTACTCAAATATCATATTTTAACTCCCTGAGATGTCCCATAATGCCTGGAAATGCTGATTGGGTCTTCTCAGGTCAGTGACACATGCAAAGGAAAGAACTGGGTGAATGGTTTTCTTTTTTTAAAAGTAGATTATTTATGGGTGTCCCTAGTGGCCTAGGAGTGTCCACTGCTCCTCTTAGCAGTGCATTTCAGTCAATTCTACCTATTCTGTTCTCCACTCGGTCTCTGGTGAATCTTCTCACCACCCCTGCCCCCACACACCTCTGGCCCACACCCATTCTCTACACAAAAATTAACTTTTTTTTTAAAAGTACATATTTGTAATGCCATTAAAGGTATTAAGTAAATATAACCATTTTTTCCAGAAAGTATGTATTGTCAGCATTAACATCAGACACGTCAGAACCCACAGCCTGGTGTGAACATACAAGACAAACCAACTCAGCATTACTAATGGTGTAGTGTAGCATGTTGGCGAATTTATATTCTAGCTCAAATCTGCTATATTAACTGTGACCCTAAGAAATTAACTGTGAAACCTCATTCCCTCACTTCCAGTCCTTGGTTTCCTTGTCCCTAAAAGAGGAGGATGTTCACTGATTCTCTGTCCCTGGAAAGCAGAACACTCATATGTACAGCAGGATTGGGGAGCTTCCTGTGGTGCCAGGACATTAGGCTCTTCCGAATGAGCTAGCCAAATGCCACTCTGATCATATTCCAAATGATGAAAGGTCATCCCCATAGTGCATAAACTGTATGTACAGATGGGGATGATGGAGGAGGATGTGTCCCCAGCAAATGACATTTACTTTGGAGGTGAGTAAAGCAGAAAGGGAAAAGAACAAATCCACATGCTGATGATATAATACCACATTTTAGAAAGTCAAGTTTCCATTCACCCAAATATTTTAGAAGATTAGCATACATGAGCTGAGCCTGGTGGACTCTTTGATACTATAATTTTGACCTACAAAACTTTTTTACCTTGAATGTATTAATGAATTTTGATGAGGATTCTGCTGCAAATAGTGGATATATTTATTTTAATTGCCTGAGGTGAATGCCTATTGATCACATTTAATTTCTCAATCTGTTTAATATACAATCAAGTCTAAAAGTTAATTCAAGTTGTCTTCTTTGTACATGAACTAATTTAACTTAAGATCAGTGTTTTCCGTCAATTTTACTAGAAAACCTGAATCACCTTTCTGTTTTTAATCTATAACAAATTTTAGTAATTACTACCTTTATAAATGTGAGTCTTCTTTTGTGGTTATTATCTCTATTAGGTACTATCTTTGCAAGCTGAAACTTGCATATTCCAGCCTTAGCATTTCTCAATATTAACTAAGACCTTTACAAATGGTCCTTGTCATTTTATTTTCAGAGAATTATCTATACTAGTAAAAATCATTATTAATCAGATAAAAGACAGATAGCTTGTATTTATTTCTTAACGAGACTATGCAAACAATGGGAACAATTACCCTTGAATATTATAGAATTGCCAGGTTCTCCAAGACAAATATATTATTAACCCAGATCTTCTCTATAATTCTGATGATATTGTTATGTAATAAACTTTCATATATCTCAGTAGAGCTAGAGAAAGAACACCATCAAAATGATATAAACAAAATGGCTTGTTTCCCACTAATTTGAAGATATATATGTACCCCCACAGCTACTGTAGCACTTTTTGCAGCCTAGAGCTAGACGACCCATGTGACCATTGACAGATAAATGTGGTATATGTCCACAATGGAATATGACTCAACTATTAAAGAAAAAAGATAAAATTCTGCCATTCGCAAAAATGGATGGACCTAGAGGCTATTATGCTTAGTATAATAAATCAGAGAAAGACAAACAATATGATTTCACTCATATGTGGTACACAGAGAAACAAAACATTTAAATAAACTAAATAAAACTAAAATGGGGGCTCCCTGGTGGTGCAAGGGGTTAAGACACACCTTATGAAGCTATTCGCACCCACTACGGCATTAGTTCTATCCCCAGCCTGCCAGGGAGCTACCCACATGGCTTAGCAGACCTCTCCTTACTCTCCCGCTGCTCCCCTCAGCAGTGTGCCTCAGTCAGTCTGCCTGTTCTGTTCCTCACTCTGTCTCTGATGAATCCTCTCACTCACCTCCCTGCACCTCTGCCCTGTACCCCAGTTCTTGTATGTATATATAAATAAATCTTTAAAAAAATGACTTTAAATAAAACAAAAATAGGGCCTCGCTGGTGGTGCAAGGGGTTAAGTCTCAGCACTATGAAGCTATCAATAGCCACTGTAGCACAAGTTTTATCCCAGTCAGGGAGCTACCCACATGGTGCAGCAGACCACTCCTATCTTGCCAGCTGCTCCCCTCAGTAGTGTATTTCAGTAGATCCACCCATTCTGCTCCCCACTGTCTCTGGTGAATCCTCTCACCTCATATCCCCGCACCTCTGGCCTACATCCCAGCTCTTGTATGCATAAATAAATCTTTAAAAAAATAAATTTTTAGACTATAAGACCAAATTAGCAGTAACTGGGAGGGAACTGGGAAAAAGAGGTGGGTAAATCCATAAAAGGGAATATTGTATGGTGAAGGAGAGAATTGGACTTTTGGTGGCAAACTTATTGTAGTATATACATACATACATACATTGATTTCTAATGCTGAATACCCGAGGCTTATACTATTCTAAGGCAGCATTACTTCAATACAAAGGGTGATGCATACAGTAGCTGAGGCGAGACACTATACATCTGAAACCTATATACACTATTGTAAATTAAGTTCATGTTACTTCGATAAAAAGAAAAATATTTAAAACTAAAATAGGCTAAAAAATCTAACCAAAATATAACATTGATCAGACCTTATGTGAATAATCAGGTTTAAAAAGCAAAACACACTTTAAAAAATTTAACAGCCAAAATTTTAGGACCTCCAGGGATAAAACCAATCTTTAATAATAAAATATTTAAGCAGAAAATATTAAAAATATACCATGTATCCTTATATAGACACAGTTAAAAGATACAAATTATTAGGACCCATTCTTCATGTAACCTACAAAAATCTATCTTATTCATTCATTGAGTGAGAATTTCTGGAGCATCTCTAATGTGCCAAGTCGTACTCCAAAGAGTAGGGATACCAAGTAATAGAAAAAGACAGTAACATTCTTCCCTCCTGGAGTTTATACTCTAAAGGAG